TTGGTTGATTTCTTCAATTTTGTTGGTTGTTTTGGTTGATTTTTGGTGGTAATTGATGGGAGTGATAAGGGCATTCCAATGGTGTGCAAATCCGGTTGTTTGTGTTGCTTTCCAATGGTTAATTCATATTTGTGACTAATTTGCACCTTTTTAAAAGTTTGAACCCATAATTGTAATTTATTCTTTATTTTTCTTTTATTTTGTGTTCGTTTTATTTTAATAGAAGGGTAAAATGGTTAAAAAGTGACGAAAAGGACGTTTTGCGCAAGAAAATGTAAAGGTAGGGATGTTCTGCGCCAAAAAATGAAAGGTATGGACATTTTGCACACAAATCGCCAAAGGTAGGGACGTTTTGCGGCAATTATCCTTTATAGATACTTCATAAGATATGGAATATGCTCTTAGAGAATCATTTGGTGATAGCACAACACGGAACCTAGGCCTACCATGTCATATTCCACTCCTCAGAGAGAATCTTCCCTTTTCATATGGCAGCCGCAATTTATTTTCCTAATGGAACAATTGCACGATTGATCTCCAATTTATTGTCTATGTAACAAATAGGTCTAGTCTTTTAAAATAAGTAAGTTAATCCTAATTTTCTATTATAGTGCACAATGAGTTTTATGAGAACTGACCAACTTCGTGAAAACCTTACATGATTGTGAAATGTTCAATTTTATGAAACTAGATTTTATTTTTAACTTGTGATAATGAAAAGAAATTTGTAGTGAGATAAATTTTTTGAGACATAAACAATGATTTAGTGAGATTCAAGGTCTGTTTGGTAGAGCTTTCACCTTTTGTAGAAAAGTTTTTGAGAAAGTTACTTTGCCGATATTTGATGGTCATTTTATGGGAAAAATATTGTTTTGAATAATGATTTTTTTGAAAAATATGTGGTTAAAAGGTAGGAAATTTTTTTGGATTTATGTGTAAAATATTTTATTATGTGAATGTATAATTAAAAAGAGTATACATGAATCATTTTTTTGAAATAACGAGAGAAGAAGTGCAAAGTTTGGCTTGAACGAAACGAAGTTATGTGGCGCCAAAGGTCCAAAGCTCTTTGGCTTAAGACGGGAGATAGCAATACTAAATATTTTCACATGAAGGCCTCACAAAGGTATAAGAAGAATAAGTTGGCAAAATCTTAGATGATGAGGATTGTTGGAATGAAGGCTTTGACAGAGATAGGGTGATCACTCAATATTTTCAATCTCTTTTTACCACCTCAAACACCTCAAATTCATCACTGGATTTCCTAGCCCCTATTGCTAATAGAGTCACTGATCAAATGAACTTGGGCTTCACAAGTGAGTATCGTGTTGAGGAGGTGAAAAATGCACTCTTTGAGATGGACCCAAATAAAGCTCCTGGGCCGGATGGAATGTCTCCAATATTTTTTCAAAAATACTGGCATGTGGTGGGCCCTTCTGTCACTGAAGTTGTTCTCCATGTTCTTAATTCTAGTGCTTTTCCATCCTCTTTTAACCATACTTTTATCACTCTTATTCCTAAAAAGAAAAATGCTGTTAGAGTGAGTGAGTTTCGGCCCATTAGCCTTTGTAATGTGATTTACAAGATCATTGCAAAGGTTCTCTCTAATAGGCTGAAAATGGTCTTAACAAATGTTATTAGTGAGACTCAAAGTGCTTTTGTCCCGGGGCGTCTTATTTCAGACAATGTTTTAATTGCTTATGAGTTAGTTCATTTTCTCAAGCACAAAAGGAAAGGAAAAAAGGGTTTTATGTCTTTAAAACTCGACATGAGTAAGGCATATGATAGAGTGGAGTGGCATTTTGTACAGTCTGTCATGGAGATTATAGGTTTTAATGCGTCTTTCATATCTATTGTTATGTTTTGTGTAAGGTCGGTATCTTTCTCTGTCTTAATTAATGGAGAGCCTAAAGGTCCTATTTTACCATCCAGGGGATTGAGACAAGGGGATCCTCTATCTCCTTATCTATTTCTATTATGTACGGAGGGTCTCATAGCGTTACTAAAGGAAGCAGGTAAGAGACAAGCTATTTCTGGTTTAAAGATTTGTAGAGGAGCCCCAAACATTAATCATCTTTTGTTTGCCGATGATAGCATTATCTTTTGTAAGGCTGATTTGGATGAGACCAGACGGATACAAAACCTGCTGAGCAAGTATGAAGCAGTGTCAGGACAGAAGATCAACAGAGAAAAGACTGCAATGGTCTTTAGTGCAAATGTTAGTGAGGAGAGGAGGACTGAAATCAAAAATATGTGGAGTAATAGTGAGATTCAGCAGTATGAGAAATACCTGGGCCTTCCTCCCGTCATTGGAAGATCGAAGAAGAGAGCATTTCAGTCTATTAAGCAGAGAGTTTGGCAAAAACTTCAATCTAGGAAAGAAAGGCTTTTATCCCAAGGAGGCAAAGAGGTGT